GAGACATATATACATGTGTATATATGTCTCTGGTTTATCCTGACTTTTTTTTACATAAATTGTCATCCTGCCTTTTTTTTTTACTCAAAACTCCTGTCCTGCTTTTTTTTCAAATTTCATCCTAGCTCCCCCCCCCCCCCCCCCCCCCCCCCCCCCCCATAAAAATCAAATGGAAGCTCCATAAGGAGACAACCTTTTGATTTTCTGGTGGGATAAAAAGTGGAGACAGGTTTTTTTTTTCCTGGCCTGGTTAGTTTTTCAGGGTTCGTAAGGATAGAAAATCCGGCAAATTGTAACAAACCCCTGTTGTACGACCACATAATAGTCAAAGTTGTGACTGAGTGCGGAAATATAAAGATAGATAGATAGAAAAAAAATTAAAATAGTCTTGCAAGACGTCATAATTATTTTGACTACCTAAAGATGAAACCTAATTCCTACTTGTTTGGGGAAAAGGAGAATTAACCGAACCACTATTCAATCTAAATCAGTGAACTGAATTATTGTCTTTTGCAGTAGTCCGAGTCGACATCTGTAACTAATCATGCAAATTGATAGCCAACAGTATACCTTTTTCAGAATGTCATCTTACGACAAAGAATCACTGGTGATAGGGGAGTGTAACCAATAAATTGATCCTAAATCAGATAAGATTTTCCCAGTAACGGAGAATCCCTTTCTTTGAGTGACTCTTGAGTGAATATAAATAGTGACGGGGGTCTCACAAATAAATATAAATCTGAATTACAGGAACATCGATAAGCAAAGTAAACTTACATATTAATCTCGAAGTTATTTACGTTAAAGACAGACTGTGCTCCTGAATTAATGTATTAACTTATACATTTGCGTATATTACTCGGGGGGGGGGGGGGGGGTACTTCCTATATACATGGTGATAGGACGTGCCGCTGGAATATGTCACTTTTTCCAGCTTTAAAAAAATATGGGAATAGGTGGGGAAAACTGTCAGAAATATATGATAAGGTCGATAAAGTTCCAATTACTTGTATATGTACTTGTATATGCAAAGCCCTGTCATTTTTTCACAGCCGAAAGTCTCGCCGTAAGTAAACATTACACACAGAATCTTAGCCTTAAATATTCCACTTTTCCAACACACCCCACGAAACCCAGCCAATATGGGAAAAGGTAACAATTTTACCCACATAATATATGAAAAGGTATACATTTTAAGATCTAAATTATATGAAAAGGGTGGGGTAACAGAACCCAAGCGACACCCCTATCAATTAAGTATTGAAGCCCCCCCCCCCCCCCCCCCCCCCCCGATGTATTTTACTGCTACAATCACACGACCGTTGCTGAGCAGAGAACCATACTTTCAAGCCAGGGACAGTCTATACTAACAGTTAGTATAGAAAGTCCCTGTAAAAAGGCAGGCAAATCCTAACAGTACTGTAACTTAATGATTCGTGTATATCAAGTTACAGCACCTCACCCAGCACAATTAGCACACTGGTGTGTGTCAGTCTTATAATAATTATTAAAACTGTGTAGGTTCATATCGTTTGATTCAACGTTTTTTCGGATATTTTTAGGACCGTTGTCAACATGGTCAAATCAGACCTGCCACTTTGCAACCTGACCTGCAAAAATATAATTCGACTAAAAACAAAGCCAGTCAAAATTGCTTTTTGAGACTGGGCGACTGAAAAAGTTTTAAAATGTGACCTTGTGACCCTACTTGGAATTCTCCATTCATCGGCGTGTGTCGGTGTGGCTAAAAAGGGGGCATTGTTTTTTTTTTTCTTGGGACAAAAAATTGTTTCTATCTTTATTAAAAAAAAATCAAGACCAATCATAAACTTTTTTTTCAAAACTCAGTGTCGTATTTTATTGTTTTCCCAACAATGTTTAATAAAAGGTTAAAATGTTTGTTTCACTTCCCTCTGACTTCCCTCCTGATTTTTTTTTCTCAAGAAATTATAGAATCAGTAAATGGATATATGTCTGTAGTCACGGTCATGCATTTAGATAAGAAATTCCAGCATGCATCATCAAATAATTCATGTGTATTTGTGACATCAACATAACTGAAACATTATATTATTTCCCAGTAATTATGTAAATCATTTTGATTTACAAATATATATGTCTTGGACTTATGCATGTATATATCTCACAGGCACTTGTCTCAGAAAAAAAAATATCTATATAATACTTTAATTAAGGTATATAGGGGAAAAAAATCTGAGACAAGTGCCTGTGATATATCTGTCAGTCCTAGAATAATAAATATAATTGTATCTTAATCTTTGGAAAAATCCAATTATTAAATTGTTAAATTCTTTTACTTCATAATTATGTCAAAGTATACTTTTTAAAGTTTTAAATTCTAAAGTTAAAATAAATATTCCGTTTTGATCTAAGGAAAAAAAATTAAACTGTAATGACATGGTCAGTCAACGGATTTTTTGCATGGCTGATTATACAGGTAATTAAAGCATGCAGTCATTTTCCATTACGACAGTGCGTGTACCCTGGGGTGTGTATAACATTTTAGAAATACCATAGTTTTCTAGAGAACATCCTGTCGATGTGTAATACAGATTGATGACATTACACAAAATTTCTTTCGTTAAATGTAGTTAAGTATCTGTGTCCATTCCCTGTTGCAACACTACACATTTTTCGAAGAAAAAAATGTTAAAATTTGAAGAAAAAAAAATCATTTATACAAAATAAAGAAGAAAAAAAGTAGCAAATAAACTTATGTTATTTGCCTATCCTGCAGTAGACAAGAAATTGAGGATGAATACCATTTCTTCTCAGTCAGTCATTATAAAAATCACCATAAAATATATTAATGATTGTTTTTTATTGAGAACATCTGTATAACGTATGTTTCTAAAAATACTGAATATTGTTTTTACAAAAAGAAGTTTAATACATTTTTCATTTTGTATGTAATAATTGAAGCCATTTCGAAATATAAGAAATCTTCACATAGTCGGGAAATTTTCAATTCATGTTATTTCATTTGAAAACGTTAAAAAATATAGATCTTATTCGATGTAAAATGTGGCGTCCTTAGATATCAAAACCCCGTTTAAATAGGGTTTGTCTACTTTCGTCTATTGTCGAACATTCTATAATCAAGGATTTGTACAAATCCTTGCTATAATATAATGAATCGCGTCGCCAATATCACCACAATTACATAAATTACAAATGCAATCTTCTCCTATACATTTCTAACAATTTCAATAGGAAATTTTGAGTCGAAACTGAAGTACCAAATCTACAAAAAGAATCACTATTTTTTTATAGTTAGAAGGCGTCGAAAACTAAACTGTTTATAATCTTTTTTTTCTCCTAAATTAATTGAAACTCTTGAAATGATTTAACATTATCTATAGACAGCTTACAAATTCAAATCTTTTTAGAAGTATATGAGTGTATAGAAATAATTTGTTCATTAACCCCCCTTTTTTCTTCTATAAAATTACATTGTAATCAATTTTATTTCCAAATTTGTGTTTGCTAGGATTGACACTTAGAACGTACAACATAAAGTAACAAGTAAAAAGTCACGATTCATTTTTTGGATATTTTTTTCTTTGAATAAACTTAATTTGAAAAACGTTTCAGCATTTTTCTGAAATATTTTTAAAAGGAAACGGACTTGTAAACAAAATTTATTTTTGAATATTAATATTGAACAATGATTGTTAAGAAAACAATCTGCCAAAGTGATTGGGTAATTAACTGGCTTCATGCTGTCAAAAATGTCTCCTTTTTATAGGTTTTTGATAAAACAAAACTATTTGAAGGCGAATTAATCATTTCCTCAACTAAATACATTTATCTATAAATAAAGTCAATTCGTCAAGAACTTTCTCTCATATATTTAAACAATTGTAAAATAATTAATTTAAACTTTTTTACTGCGACTTTCTGTCCGTTTACCAATACTTATTCCTTGTTAGGTTTTTTCATATCCATTTACGAATACTTATAATGTGATAATTTTCGGAAGCTTTTATCCTATTTTCATATCAAACAACCATGTTACCCGTAGAACGGAGTTAAGTTCAAATTTAGGAATTTAGTACTTAAAATTTTCAACAACAAAATTTTATACTTTCATTTACCTGGATTTTGTTCTACGCTTCGAAGCCGCCACCCTGTATCAAACATAGCCAACACCTCGCATGGCGTATTCACGATGTTGAGGGATAGACAATATACAATCAAAGTTAGCAATATACAGCAAGTAAGTAATTGGGTGTTGAATGCTAGTAGATCTGAATTTGTAAATTTAATTTAACCTGTTTAGAATGTGTAATCTGGGCTGATATGCATATAACCACTTTAAGTTAAAAATATCAATGAAACTGGGTCTGCATGAAAAAATGACTTATCACATAAAACCCAGAACCTATGTTTACTGTTAGATGATAAGAAAATATAGCTGTAGGCCTAGTTTACAAATTATTTATTCTTTTAATTTCTATTTGACTGTCTGGGTGCTTCTTATGTGTTTTAAATATTTGCGTTTTGTATGCTATAGTAAAGTTTTATAGACTGTTGTACGTCATTTGGTCGTTTTTAAGTTTTTGCCATGGCGTTGTCAGTATGTCTTCGACCTATAAGTTTTATATAATCCGGGCTGCATCTCTTGTGCTGTATTTTAAAATGTATCTTTACACATTCATCAATACACCAAAAAATATGAATAAAGCTTTCGTATATATAAAAATAAGGAGATGTGGTATGATTGGTAATGAAACAACTATCCGGGATATTTTGAGACAAAGTGCACGTATCAGCAGTCAGCCGAAAACCACTAAGCGTTTTGCATCCATACGTTGTTTTTTTTCGGGATACTGGCTGCATAGTAAATTATCAATGTACTAGTTAATGTTCTCGAGGGATGACCCTATTACAGAGACATATATACACATATGTGTATATATGTCTCTGCCCTATTACGTGTCAGTAACCTCCTCGACTTGGTTCATTTTACGGCGGCTAATTTTTGTCTTAAGAATAAACATTATTGATAAGTTTCTTTCCCCTGCATTCCTCGATCGCACTTGTAAATAGCACATTGGCCTCAAGACATTGGTACACTATACGTTACAACTCTTGCCGTCAGTACTTAAAATTGGAAAAATATTACATAAGAAGGTATAGAAAATTAATGCACACACACTATTATTATTATCAACCACAGACATGATGTTTTTCTCAATTGGCCTAAATCGTTATTCCGCAATACAACGAGGGTGATGAAAAGAATCTGAAAACCCACCACTTTGAACATAGGCACCGGCATGCTGTGAATTTGAAAAATTCCCAAATGAATAACTATCCATTATTTTTCTACTGTAAAGTTTTATTAAATACACATTTGATTTGAAATGGCATATCAGAGAGATATATAAACATATATCATAGGCTGATCCAAGGGAGGGGGAGGCTTTGGGGCCCGGGCCCCTCCTTTCTGTCTTTCTTAGGAAAAATTTGGTTGATTATACAGGGAATCACTGAAGCATGACTGGAGCTGGCCCTCCCTTATGAAAAGTTCTGGATCCGCCACTGTATATTCATAAAAAAACCTAACAAATTATCCAAAAGATGAATAAATAGTCTTTAAGGACTCCAGGAGTCAATTTCACAAAAATACTTACAACTAAGATTGATTATAAGTATACTTGAGTCGGTTTTACAAAAAAAAACTTACAAGTAATCGTAAGTATACTGTATTGTACATGACTTAATGACTATCAATATTATTTGTAAGTTTTTTTGTAAAAACTGCTGAATTGTTTTTCCATGCTTTAATATGGTACATGTAAGTTGTAAGCTTTTTTTAAAACCACCTCAAGGGTATAATGTCTGCTCGTCCATAGAATCCGTTTGCCCTATTTTTATCAAAAATGAAATATATTGATATTAATAGTATAAAGGTTAAATAATTTATTCATACATTTTTAATTGACTAGAATTATTGAGGAATTTAAATCATTCCTATTTTTAAAAAGTGACAAAATAAAATTTATATATAACAGGGTGATACAAATGAGAAAAACTCAAGAAATTGTTTTCAATTAAGATAAATACATGCAGTTAATAATGGTTTTCAGTTGATTTTTAAAGCAGAGGCAGATTTAGTGTTGGGGGGGGGGGGTTTGGGGCCTCCTTTTCTTGAAAAAAATTGGTTGATTATATAGGGAATCACTGAAGCATGACAGGAGCAGGCCCCCTCTTAGCTATAGGCAGTCACTTATGAATATTTTTGGATCTGCCACTGTAAAATCGTCTTCAGTTGTATTATATTAAAAACAGTATACCTGTATTCTATAGTGCAAATCAAAGGAAAATAATGTAAATTATCTGGTAGTACATGTAGTAGCAATACAATATAAATATTATTCAAAAATAAACATTATACATCAAGATAACAAATTAAATTTAAAATCAGGGCGAATGGACCCAGGGCAAACAGATATTAACTTATTCAGGCTAACAAGTAATTAAGGTTGAATGTGAATCAGGGCGAATGGACCTGGATCCAAACTCCAGTAAGGTAACTCCTATAGGTCAAAAGTTCATGTTTATAAATTTCGTCAGATCACCAGTACCTCACTTATCAAAATGAAACAACATGTTACAGACAATTTACATCTTTAATTTCAACATAATTTAAGTTATAAATAGCTTTCTTCTACATTTTTGGATAAATACTCAATTGTCCGGTAAATTCCAAGTTGAAACTTCTTCAGCAGGCCTATCCCCACCAGAGACCAAACGATGCACAAGTTAGGTATAGGTAACGATATGAATGCAACAATGAGCAAAAGCCATACCATCTAGCTAGCCATAAAAGGCTTTGAATAATAATAATAAATATAAAATAAATCAAACAAGGAATTTAATGGTTTTGGGCAATAGTTTTGAATTTAAAAAAAAGCTTTAACAATGTTAATTTTTGTGTGCATTTATTGTTGCTAATTTTGAATAATGGACAAACATGTGAGATTGATTATTGTGATTTAAGAAAAACCTGCATACATAAAATTGAAAATGGAAATGGGGAATATGTCAAAGAGACAACAACCCAACTAAAGAGAAGACAACAGCGGAAGGCCACCAATGGGTCTTCAACACGGCAAGAAAATCCAGCACCCGGAGGTGGTCTTCAGCTCATAAATATGTATCAGATATAAGAATTCAATACAGCTCTCAGTCGCATTAAATAATAAAAACCTCACAATAAGTTCTGAAAATCAGAATGAACAGTATTGTAAGATTCTCAAAGTGTACACATGGAGTTATGAAACTTAAATTAATCATGCTAATTTAACATGTTAAAGATTGGCATACCACTTGGAGTAGCCTTATGGCATTGTATAGTGTAATGAATTCAGGGGATAATGGCACTACCTCTTTGATTTTAAAGTCCTCAGAATCAATCTTTAATATTAATATGCATACTCTTGTACAAAGGAATATAAGTATGCAATAGACATATGGTCTTCAAAAATAAGAGGTATCCATGCTATACATTTATGACAAGATCTTAATCAAGTATTAATTTTGGTTTGTTTAAATATTTCGGAGGTTAGTATGACTATGACGTCCTTTTTTGTGATGATGTTTTCATTTAAATTTGGAAAAATTGTTTGTACCAACAAAAATGAATACACGAAGTTATTTCAGAATAATTTGTTTATCATTTTTTTTATTTAGGTTGCCAGCAAGATGAAAAGAACAATGCAGTTCAAAAGTTAAAATGTGGATAAGCTGATGTACAAGGTCCTACTTTTGCAGATTTTCATATTTTGCATGAATGAATTTGAAGTTTATATCATGGAGGGCAGAGAAAGAAAAGAAACACTTCAATTTTCCTGCTTCTGAAGAATAAATGTAAAACATCTTGTTCGGTAAGTTTGATGCTCTGTTTTGATACTGTTTGTGCATCCATCTGTCTTTCTCTAAATTATATTCACTTAAAGTTTTTGGTTACAGTTCACCATGAACTTCAGCTAGAAACTTGTGGTTTTACATGTATATACTCAAAATTTAGTACTTTAAAATGTTCATGTATTTTTGCCGAGCCTGCGACTTTTGTCGCAGAAAGCTTGAAATACAGATAAGGATCCGGCGGCGGCTACAGTGGTGGCATTAGCTAACTTCCTAAAAGCTTTATATTTTAGAAGGTGGAAGACCTGGATGCTTCATACTTTGTATATAGATGCCTCATGATACCAATTCTGTCTGTCACATGTCCATTATCCTTGAACTCATTTTCATGGTTCAGTGACTACTTGAAAAAAAAAGTTCAGATTTTTTGTAATGTTAATTTCTCTCTTATTATGAGTAATAGGATAACTATATTTGGTGTGTGCATACCTTGCAAGGTCCTCATGCTCGTCAGAGAGTTTTCACTTGACCTAGACCTCATTTCATGGATCAGTGAACAAGAACTAAGTCTTAGATGCATGATTTGTTTTATTAGTTGTTAGTGGCTTTGAACTAGCTGTCAGTAACTGCGAGTACTCTCAGATCTGTACTTAGTGTCTTTTTGTTGTTTGGATGTACAGGTACTACGTCCACTTGTATTTGTAGTATTTGTATTTTTATCCATCTGATGAGTTAAGCCTCTTTCAACTGATTTTTATAGTTCGTTCTTATGTTGTACTGTTACACCACTGTCCCAGGTTAGGGGGAGGGTTGGGATCCAGCTAACATGTTTAACCCCGTCAGGAGCCTGTAATTCAGTGGTTGTCATTGTTTATGTGTTACATATTTGTTTTTCGTTCATTTTTATACACCTGTTTACGGGACATATTATGGTATACTGTTGTCCGTCTGTCCGTCCGTCCGTCCGTCCGTCTGTCCGTCCGTCCGTCCGTCTGTCCGTCCGTCCGTCCGTCCGTCCGTCCGTCCGTCCATCCGTCCGTTGTCAACATGTCAGACATTAATTCAAAAACGCTTTAACCTATATGCATGAAACTTTGGTGGATTGTTTATATATGACGTGAGCTCCCTTTCGTTTTTTAGCTCACCGGTGCCCGAAGGGCCCGATGTGAGCTTATGTCATCACTTGGCATCCGTCGTCTTCCGTCGTCTGTCTCGTCGTCTGTCCTCATAAACTATTTCAAAAATCTTCTCCTCTGAAACTACTGGGCCAAATACCTTCAAACTTTAAGTAAATGTTCCTTAGGGTATCTAGTTTATAAATTGTATCCGAAGTTTTGATCCATCGACAAACATGGCTAAAAATAGAACATAGGGGTCAAATGCAGTTTTTTGCTTATATCTCAAAAACGAAAGCTTTTAGAGCAAATCTGACATGGGGTAAAATTGTTCAATTGGTCAAGATCTATCAGCCCTGAAATTTTCAGATGAATCGAACAACTCATTGTTGGGTTGCTGCCACTAAATTGGTAGTTTTAAGGAAATTTTGCAGTTTTTTGTTATTATCTTGAATATTATTATAGATAGATATAAACTGTAAACAGCAAAAATGTTCAGCAAAGTAAGATCTACAAAAAAGTTTAATATGACCAAAATTGTCAATTGACCCCTTAAGGAGTTATTGCCCTTTAAGGACAATTTTACACAAGTTGGTTTATGTTTTTTAACTTTAAAAATCTTCTAAAAAGAATCTAGTATAAATTTTGTATTTCATTTCCTTGTACGTCAAGAAACATAGACACTATGGCTAAAATGGAACATATGGGTAAAAAGCAAAAATAATCATTGATGAAAGATTTAAGCAAAAAAAATAACAGGTGAGCGATTCAGGCTCTTTAGAGCCTCTTGTTTATGAATTTCGGATTTCCCATTTCTGAGTTTTGAGGTTTTATTCATTAAAAAAGGGTGGATTTTCCAGTTTTCGGACAATAACTCAAAAACAATTTCACCAATTTGCATGAAACTTGTGTGAATTGTTTATATCTATTGATGTGAGCTCCCTTTAGTTTCTTATAAATTTCAGGTTTTCCGTTTCCGAGTTTTTGGGTTTTATTCATTAAAAAAGGGGGGATTTTCCAGTTTTCAGACAATAACTCAAAAACAATTTCACCAATTTGCAAGAAACTTTGGTGAATTGTTTTTTTCTATTGACATGAGCTCCCTTTTGATTTTAATAAATTTTAGACAATACATTCCCGATTTATGGGGTTTTATTCATGACAAAAAGGGGGATTTTCCAGTTTTTGGACAATAACTAAAAAATGCTTTCAGCTTTTTTTATGAAACTTTGGTGAATTGTTTATATCTATTTTTGTAAGCTCCCTTTTCATTTTTATAAATTTTCGATTTTACGTTTCCAAGTTATAAGATTTTATTTGTTTATAGTCTGACAACAGATTTACTAAGTATTGCGCAACAGTTTATTTGTACATAAATTAGGCTGTTAGTTTTCTCGTTTGAATTGTTTTACATTGTCATTTCGGGGCCATTTATAGCTGACTGTGCGGTATGGGCTTTGCTCATTGTTGAAGGCCTTACTGTGACCTATAGTTGTTAATTTCTGTGTCATATGGTCTCTTGTGGAGAGTTGTCTCATTGGCAATCATACCACATCTTCTTTTTTATATTTAAGGTTAAGTTTTGGTGGTCAAGTCCATATCTCAGATACTATAAGCAATAGGTCTATTATATTCGGTGTATGGAAGGACTGTAAGGTGTACATGACCAAATGGCAGGTGACATCTGACCTTGACCTCATTTTCATGGTTCAGTGGTTATAGTAAAGTTTTTGTGTTTTGGTCTGTTTTTCTTATACTGTATGCAATAGGTCTACTATATTTGGTGTATGGAATGATTGTAAGGTGTACATGTCTAGCTGGCAGGTGTCATCTGACCTTGACCTCATTTTCATGGTTCAGTAGTCAAAGTTAAATTTTTGAGTTTTGGTCTTTTTTTCTAATACTAAATGCAATAGGTCATATATATTTTGTGTATGGAAACATTTTATGATGTACATGTCAGTCTCACAGGTTTTATTTGACCTTGACCTCATTTTCACGGTTCATTGCTCAGTGTTAAGTTTTTGTGTTTTGGTCTGTTTTTCTTAATCTATAAGCAATAGGTCAACTATATGTTTTGTATGGAAGGATTGTAAGCTGTACATGTCTGCCTGGCATGGTTCATCTGACCTTCACCTCATTTCCATGGTTCATTGGTCAATGTTTAGTTTTCTTGGTTAAGTCTGCTTCTTAGAAACTATAAGCAATAGGTCAACTGTATTTAGTATATTGAATGGTTGTAAGGTGTACATGTATTTCTTGTCAGGTTTATATGACCTTGAATTCATTTTCTTGGATCATGTTGAGTTTATGTGATAGTTGTAGTAAAGCTTTATATTTAGGACTATCAACATGATATCAATGATTAGTAAAGAAGGCGCAACATTTCAGCGTGTGCACTCTTGTTTATACATTATACACCACATTTACTGTTTTTACCCTGATTTTATGGATCACTGAACATAGAAATGTCATAATGTGAAATTATAGTACATTCTTAGGTTAAAGTTTTAGGTTAAGGTACATAGCTTACCATGAAGTTGAATTTCATACACATGTTCATTATGTGGTGAACTTTTAAATTCAGTGCCAAACTAAGATTTTGAGCCTGATTACTTGATTGACTAGACATTGACACATGCTAGTGTTTGCCAGGCATGGTGTCCTGTACTAGGAATTTGTCCTGTACTAAGAACTTTAATAGTGCTCCTGAGTATGAAGTTTTTGTGAAAGTTTAATATTATTGAGATTTTTGCATGACATCCTGTCAACTGCTTGTTGATCATGTTTATAGTGACCGATTTCTTAAAATTAATATCTGACACATTGGTGTTTTGTGAACTTGAAAATAAGTTATTTGATAGAATAATAATGTTTTGAGATTATCAAAATAAAAAATATCCCATTTTTACTATTAATAACTAAGTATTAAAAAAAGAAGATTTAGGATATATGTATAACCATATATAAAAATGAGACAGCAACCGAACAACACAAAAATAAGAAAAAAAAACAATATAATTTTTTGTATCAATGTTATAATTTCCAACATGTCGAAAGAATTCAAGGTATTTCTCATTGAAATAAAACACAAGTGGAACTCTTTCAGAACTATAGAAGCTTAAATATGTTTCGTTTGTTGGCGTTTTGTATAATATATTGCAAATTCTTGCGAAAAATGGAATGTTATTGTAATTGCCTAAAGTTTTAACATTGATCTATATATATATATATAACTGGGGAAAATACCCAAATGTTATAAAGAAGAATACATAAATTGATTGTTATATAATATTAAATTAGGAAGATGTGGTATATTGCTTATTTGACAACTCTCCATCAGAGACTAAAGGATGTAGGAGGTTAGCAACTGATAACACTGGACAACCTTCAACAATCAGTACCATAGCTATTTTTATTGAAAATCATATGTTATTGCTACATGTCTGCAAACAATTTTTTATTATCCATAACTTCGGATTTTATTGGTTCTTTTTCAGAAGGATTGAAATTCATCAATTAGAATAAAAGGAGAAAACAAAGAAACAAGACCAGAATAAATTCAAAGACAAAAGTCAGATCAGTTATTATTTTCATCACTCAGTCAATGAATTGAAGTTCTATTAAATATCTCAAGTCAAAAGATATTAAAACCACAATAATGACAATGTTCTGTGCTGAATGGCCAAAAAGTGGACTATACATTACAATCACACAATGCTGGATGATAAGAAACTATTAATTTTTTGGGTGGAGGGATATCCTGAAAAAAAATAGATTTACGTAAAAAGCTACTAGTATGTTAAGCCTAATAAAAGAGTTTTCATTGATTTCAAATGGGAAAAAATTGTGTTTCAAAAAAGTATTCTAGAATTCATAAATAAACATATATTGATACTTACATTATCTGCTTTGTTGTTTAAAAGTTTAGTTTTGAACAGTTATAGAACAATATAATTGCATTAACATTTCCAAGGAAAAAAAGATATACAACTAAAAAGATTCATCTTAAAACAATTTACTACCAAACAGAATTCATTGTAACATACACACTACTGTATATTTATAATTTGAATCTCATAGGATTTTATTTTGTCCCATGGGATATTAAAAATCCCATGGGATAATTATAGTCCCATGGGATTTTTTTTGTCCCATGGGACAACAAATATCCCATGGGACTACAATTATCCCATGGGACCCCAAAAAATCCTATGGGATTTAACCAAAATCCCATGGGATAATGGTTAATCCCATGGGATTTGCCTTATCCCATGGGATATTGAAAATCCCATGTTTTTCTAAATCAAATTACAAAATATATATAATATTATCAGCAGAAAAGCAATGAATTTATTGAATCCCATGTAATTCCGCACATTTTGGTTATATACACGACACTGTAGCTGTAAGGAGAGGCGGCGGCGGATTTGCAAATGAGTGTTTTGCAAATTAAAAGTGTCCAGTGTTATGATACTAATTGTGCACCACTACTGGTCGACTTACTTTTGTACTCATAGAAAGCAGAATTCATACTGAACCTCTCAAATACAAAATAATGAGTGGTTTCATCGCAATTATCAATAAAGGGTACTACCAAATGTAGGAGGCCTGCTTCTTATCTCGATCTTTCACTCGATATTGTCCCAAATTGACGACGACTTCTAACTAGAATCTATGACAAACTTAATGATTTCAACTTACAAATTGTTAACTTCCCATTTGTTATCAGTAGCACATCCTATTTTCTATAGTCTGGCGTTTAACATCTCAGATAGAACTTTTCGCTTATGCATGTCAATACTATACGTAATACATTAACGAGGGTGCGTTAATACACAAAAACTGCAACGTCTTATCTATCTTTTTTAACCGATTGTGTCCTATTCTCGACTGTTACATTTTGACTGAGTGTGGATTCACATGGCGGATGATGTATGCTTACCAGTAGATGTTTATACGATTCCCTCAGGATTTTTTTTGTTTCTTCAATTTATCACTTCAGAATCGATAAACTAGATTTGAAAAAATCGGCACACTACTGGCTCCTTTATTTGAAGCTTGTATGTGAAGCGTTTTTTTTCAGGGCACAAATTATCTCATTTTGTATTTGCCCATCTATTAGCTTAAAATAACATTACACTTTTTTGTATTTAGTGATAAACATGTTCTTAGGTTTGAAAGGTCTTACAGTTTTTCAGGATTTACAGATTTTAATGTTTAAGGTTTTTGACGAAGCGTTCCTGTCTTATTTCGCAAGAGAGTACCAAGATGGAACAATCTTGTATCGAGATTGTATTTATACAGATAAAGTAGAGGCTGCAGTAATTTACCAATGTTTCCTTGAATATCGTTGGTTTTTAAAAATGATCATTTTCCTGATTTTAAACAAATTCTTAATGTTGTAGCCGACGTTTTAAAAAAATAGATGTACCTAGTGAAAGTTATTCTAGAGAAACATGTGGTGATCACTGACGTTGTTTTCCCACATTTTTTAATGTATTGTTAAACAATTTCTGATATTTTTACAAAACTGCATCTGAAGCGTTTATATATCGGATTTAATTCTGTTTTGAGTGGAAAGCTGTTTTTTTTTCTTGGTGTGGAAAATATTGATTTTACCGCACTAACCTTGTATCATATCATTTACTTGTCCATCGAGCTTTTGCTTTTCACTGCTTGTTTCCTTATGTACCTCCATCAATTTTTCAACGTTGTTCGAAAGATTTTGTATAATTTTTTCTTTTTTCTGTAAATCCTTGCTATAGGTCACCAGCCTGTTTTCAAGACTGGCAATATGTAATTTTTTAGTGTCCATTTCTCTTGTCAAAACTTTGATTTTCTTTTCTGCATGGCGAATTGATGTTTTATTTAAATCAAATTCCAATTTTAACTCTTGCAATTCTTTTTGAAGGTCTTGTTTCTCCAACTCCAATAAATTTACAGTAAGCTTTTCATCCTCCAAATCTCCTTGACATTTTCGATAACGCTGTTCAAGTTCAGGATTACTCAAACGAACTTGGTGTTGCTAAAAGATTTCCGAAAAAAAGTATAACATATTTATTTCTTTTCTGACATAAAGGGTTTCGAATTTCAAAGCAATGGTGGCGTCAATTTATACGTTACGCCTCACTTATCGTGACCGACATCGTGAAAGAGAGAACGTTACAACTGATTCAGAGTTTAGGAAATTGTCAGAGATATATTTTGATGCACTGATACTGATTGTTTTACAGCTTTGAAGTTATAATACCGTATAGTACCGTCAGATTCAAACCTATAAGATACATATTTATTACACATTATTTGTTATGCTAAAAGAAATACCAATGAGGCAATTAAGGATTAATGCAATACAAGCAAACATAATGTCGCCAACAGAAAAAATGACTTCAAAACAACCCACAGTTATAGCAGAAAATTACAAACAATATTAAAGGTTTACCAACATGAACATCACGAAAGACAAAAGGTGAGCCTACATGGTCCGAAAGGGTACGCAGTTCCTGGTGTCTAGTGTCATAAAGCGTGTAGCTAATTGCAATATACTATACGGTGATAAGATATATCGGAATATCATAAACACGAAAAAGATGGCGGAATTAAGGTAACGACAATTGGAACATGTCTATTATCGTCTTAGACACAGATATGGTATAACGATAAAAAAAAAGAAATGATTATAACAGGATGCTGTTACGAAGTCTCCCAAACGAAGCTCCCATAATTCGTAATTCCCAGGGTCGCCTGACATTGGGCAAAGTCCAGTGAAAATTGGTTTGGTCCAGCAAAGTTATATGCATTAGTGATGCCTGGGGACTAACCCTGTATATCATTCAAATCATCTTGGCATGACAAACCAGAATATATATGGTTTAGGCGTGGGGATCTCGACCACTTACAAGATACTAGAACATTGGGGGTGGGGGAACCCCTGGGGACTGACCCTATACGTCATTCAAATGTTAGAGACATGACGAACAGGAATATATATGGTTTAGGGGTGGGGATCTCGACCATGTACAATATATTAGAATTTTCTCAAATGGCAGGGGGTCGGGATGACCCCTGGGGACTAACCCTGTATATCATTCAAACCATCTTGGCATGACAAACCAGAATATATATGGTTTAGGGGTGGGGATCTTGACCACTTACAAGATATTAGAACTTTCTTAAATGGCAGGGGGTGGGGGTGACCCCTGGGGACTAACCCTGTCTTTCATTTGATGTGCTTTATCATGACAAACCAGAATATATATGGTTTAGGGGTGGGGATATCGACCATTTACAAGATATTAGAATTTTCTCAAATGGCAGGCGGTCGGGATGACCCCTGGGGACTAACCCTGTATATCATTCAAACAATCTTAGCATGACAAACCAGAATATATATGGTTTATGGGTGGGGATCTTGACCACTTACAAGATATTAGAACTTTTTTAAATGGCATGGGGTGGGGGTGACCCCTGGGGACTAACCCTGTATTTCATCTAATGTGCTTTATCATGACAAACCAGAATATATATGGTTTAGGGGTGAGGATCTCGACCATTTACAAGATATTAGAACTTTCTCAAATGGCAGGGGGTCGCGTTGACCCCTGGGGACTAACCCTGTATATCCTTCAAACCATCTTAGCATGACAAACCAGAATATATATGGTTTAGGGGTGGAGATCTTGACCACTTACAAGATATTAGAACTTTCTTAAATGGCATGGGGTGGGGGTGACCCCTTGGGACTAACCCTGTATTTCATTTAATGGGCTTTATCATTTAGAACATTTTCAATTAAAAAGATTGTGTCTATCACAAACGGTTTTCAATTTCTAATCATTTGAAAATTTGAAAATATAAAATCCCATAGTGTTCTATAGTAAAACCCTCTTTTCTTTTTGCCCCTCAAAGTACCCCTTTATAAACCCCATTGCACAAACAAAACCCTGATTGCACCACTAGACATGTTAGTCTAACATATCGTGAAACCCTAAGTTAATCTGACAAGCGGTTTTGGAGAACGGGTGCGGACAAGTTCAAATTTAAAAGCGGCGGAAGAAGAAGAAGAAGAAGAAGAAGAAGAAGAAGAAGAAGAAGAAGAATAAGAACTGAGCAAAAACAATAAGTCTTCCCAAACTTCGTTTGGGAGACTTAATAATATGATGATGACCTTCGTAAAAAAAATCGAAGAGATGATATAATTTTTGTCATTTGAAACACTCAAAGTAATAGCTTTCTTTTGAGAAGTACCCTAAATTGTGATGTCACGATCATTTTCATTGAAAACGTGCAGCATTAAAAAAGTCATTATATTTTCAGCAGGTAACAAATTACAATTAATATATGCTGGATAACGGAGACAATTCTTATAAGAGAAGAGGCGTATTAAAACACGTCACTCATCAATGTTTCTTATATACACGGAATACAAAAGGGTTTCGAAAATTTGAATTTACGGACTATACAACTATCATGCACTATATGTTATGTCACTGTATATGAAACCTAGCTAATGCTAGTATACTTTTTTTTACTTCAATTAGATTCCAGAATTCTACTTTTTTGTGCCAATTTCACCAATCAGTAGAATTTTCTGAAATTCAAGTGACATAACAGTAGTAACTTTTTCTGCAAATACTTGTAGCTCTCGCCGTTGTATTAAACCCCTAAAATGTAGATGACAAATAGTGTTTTGATTTTATATGAAAAGAAAATGGGGTCAAAAATTTACTTTTACAAAATCGGAGAATTGGTTGAGCATCAAAAATAGTTAACAATATGCGTGAAAACTCTCGGAATGGTCTTCTGACTGAGTTCCTGCTTTAAACAGATTATGTTGATATGTACAACATAGATTTTACTGGTGTATTCTACAATTGTATTTTTTAAGTAACATTCTAAACACA